AATCCAGGGTGCTGACCCTGGGCCCTACGGGAGAGCCTCCTCTCTGTGGACGAGGATGCCTGTGGCCATGGGAGCTGGGAGGTCCAGCTGGGCTGAGAGGGCCACACCAACGGTGTGTGCAACCAAATGCTGGCATGTGGGTAAGTCAGTGAACTACTGCTCGCAAGGCGCTCCTGTACGGCAGGAAGTCCATATAAAGTCACTTCTGGACAGTCTGGACTCCCTGCACAGCCTGGCCAGCAACTTCTGCACACCGCCCCCATCAGCCCCTTGGACCCAGCCAGCTTCCCTCTAGGCTTCTTCTCCCAGTGTCCCCACCTAGGTGTCCCCTCTTCGACTTCCACCTGCAGAAAGCCCACTCCTCCTCCAGCACCCACTCCTGCTGCCCCCTGGGGCCTGATCGGTGCCCAGTGGCTGAGGATGGCACAGCCGTGTGCCCCTGTTGGGACTGTGCTTGGTTCTGAGCCTTGCAGGTCTGCCCAGCCCACGACAGGTACACATGCAGAGTGGATGCATGACCAGCTCAGTCGGGATTGACCCTCCAGGGCATGGCCCCCACAGTGAGGAGCCTGGGTCCCCAAGGTCTTCCTGGGGGATCTGTGTTGCACATGAGCTGATGGGCACAGCAGGACTGAGGTCACAGGAGGAGGGAAGTACAGATGCACGAGGACGGGCCTCTGCGGACTTCGACATGAACACGTGAGCACCTGGCGTCCCTCCACCCTCAGGTCTGGATCTGTCCTCCCTCACACCCAGCCGTGCTGGCACCGTTTGGAGGTGTGGGGGCCCCAACTCTGCCACTCAGCTCTGGTCATCTCCCTGACCTGGCATCTGCAAGAGGGGCCATTGTGGTGCTGCAATGGCTTGTGCCACGAGGGGTGAGGACTGCACAGGACCTCTGCGCACACGTCCACACCCCAGGGCCGCAGCCACATCCAGGGATCCGCCCTCCCTGCCTCCAAACCCCAGGCCAGGTCCAGGTGCAGGGAGAGGAAGGGTGGAACCAGCCTTAGGCCCTTCGTGGGGGACTCTCCTGCTCCCAGCTTCCTGGAGGGCTCTATTCCTTCCTCCTGCTCGGCACCACCCTGGGGAGCCCCCAGCTCCTGCACGCCCAGCCCATTCCTGCAGGAGCATGTAGGGTGTTAAGTTAGTTTACACCCTGGGTGTGTGTGTGGTGAAGCTGTCAGCATCTGCGCACCCATCCTGTCCATGCACATGGGTGTGAGCACACACGCAGGTGGCTGTTTGAGCTTTCAAAGGCACGCGTCTGTTACTGACTGGGTGTTGTGTGGGCACAAGTGTGTGTGCAATGAGTGTGCTTCCTCACAGCTCAGTGTCAGCTCAGTCCACACCTGTGGGGCCAGTGCCACTGTCCTTGCATACCTTCCCCAGTCGGGCCAATCTAGGCCTGCCCTCCAACCCCCATCTCCCTGGATGAGCACAGGCCGGGCGGCCTGCCCCTGGGTCTCAGGGACACGTTGCTTCCCTGCAGCCTGCCCTCTGGATCTCTCTTCCTAGGATGATACCACATCTGGCGCTCCGTGAATGATGGACTGATGAAGCATGGGTGGAAAGAGGGCGCCAAGGGGTGCAGTCTGGAGGGGGCATTGGCAGGCGCTCCAGGGTGGGAGGGTCCCAGGCAGCGCCAGAGGGGGCGGTCAAGCCTGGCTGAGCCCAGGTTGGGGGCAGGGAGGTCGG